GCACCGGAAGTAGCATATGCTAACGTGCACATAGTCAATTGGATCCAAGTGTACATCAAGTTTCTCTAACAGCGTGCCGAAGATTTGACCAATAATGTGGAGGCATGGACAGAACATGTGCATCTGTCATAGGCAATCAATCAATCAATATCAATGTCAGGGTGCATTTGCTAAGCTTAACCTTTGACCAGTAGGAGTGGTGCAGCACCACCTTACACTGGATCAGTCCCTTCCTGACACTATGAGTGCACCAGGAGGACTATATCCTCCCAAAGGTCCTGGGTGATTTCCTGACCCGTCCTGCTCCCAGAGTAACCAAAGAGCTGACACTGCGGCACTTCTTAAGCTACATGTTATGGCAAGCAGATTTATCAATTAGTGTTTGGAGGTGGAAGCAAAAGGGTATCAATGAGTGGGGTTAAAGTTTGAGAGGGGAAACTGAGGGGTCATCCCTCAAATAAAGCTACAGACCTGTAGGTGTGGGTTGGGGTCCCATATTTAGCTATAAATTGTTCAAAGGAAGACAAAATGCCCTGAGTATACAGATCATTAAATTATACCTAAAGCACACCAGAGAGCAAAGCTCCTGTCCCCTACAGAAGTTTCCTGAAAATGTTTTGAGGATAAAAATTGGGACACACTGATTGGTCAAACCTTCATCTTAACCAGGCTTATCCGACCAACTATTGACAGGAGCAGCAGGGATCAACAAGGAGTAGAGACATTGTGTTTAAAGAAGTTTTTAAATGTCCAGTAACCCCCAGATATGTTTATCCAAAACTGCTTTAAATGGGATTTCATGTAATGGGGAGTCGCAAGCTGCAGCATTGATTGGACCAGTTCAGTTTGTAGAATCGAACGATGTTACGACTCGGCTCAAAAGCTGTAACATTAAAAAAAAGATGAATACCAGAGTGTTAGTGAGAAGAGGTTTTTTCTTAAAGTTGAATACCAGGTTGGCTAAACTGGCTGGAGCCACCAAGGCAAAGACAAGCGAGCTCCCTGGAAGCTTGCCTCAGGTGTGCTGTTATCCACACCTGACTAGGTGTGGATAACAGCACACCTGAGAACATTGAGGAGATCAGGGGCTGCAGAGGGACGTAACAAACAAAAGGACCGAGAGGACTTTTGGTCTTTATCAGGCCAAGAAACATAGAAAAGCAAATCATCAGCTTACAGGGACGTTCTCCGCTCGAAGCCATCCCTCACCACAGTGATTGTTATTGGATCTAACTGATGCAGGTGATGAAGAATAAAGTGGGCTCATCTTCTTTTCGCGGCTGAATTTTTCTGGTCCTACTCGACTCTATCGAACGTGTTTTCAGCATCTAATGAAACATGAAACTTTGAGGACGTTTGTGGGAGAAAATATTTTTTCTTTATGTCATTTTCTTTTTGTTTCAATTTATTTGATGAGATTGAAATGGATGAAGGAAGAATTGTTTACTTGAATGAAAACAATGTTTTTAAATTCAGTTCAGTTTAGCTTCATTCATATAAACAGTCGCCTCAAGGCGCTTTATATTGTAACCCTGCAGTAACACTGAGACATCTGAACACTACAAAAAGCACTTGGTCACATTCATAACTATTTAATTCAAGGTTTGAAGAAAGCGCCATCTTTCAGCGACGCTGTGTGTTTGTAGTGGACAGAAGAAGGGCGGGGACTGTAACCTAATAAAGTAACTGGTGAGACCACGGCGGGGTTATTAAGGCTGCATTCGCCGTGGCGCATGATTTAGCAGTACAAACATATTTAAACTGGGAGCCTATTTATTATTTTTGATTTCATCAACTGTTCAAAAACAAATAAGTAACAAATCACTACAAACAATCCTGTTCGACTGCTCCGCTCTCGGCAGGTCCATGCCTGAGGAAGGATTTGCTCAACTCGATGCTGGCCGCATCTTGCCGGGAGGGTCACCTTGATGTGGTTCGTCTGCTGGTCCAGAGCTACGATGCTGACGCCAAGGACTGTGCAATCCATAGCGATGAATTTGCTGTCATCACTGGCCTGCCACTGTATGCTGCTTCACAAGCAAGTAAGGA